AATTTAGCAAGCTAGTTTACTTGATTCGCCAAGTTTAGTGAATTCAAAATGTTAATTGTGTTACTGGCTAACTAATCATAACAAGTAGAACTACTTAATCGAGATTCGTGCCTCGATGTTCCCTACTAAGCTAAACCATAACATAAATTAAATCAAATAATAGTTTGTCAGTTATTCAAGTTTAAGCTTTTAGTTTAGACCTATTAGGCTTTCGGCATTTTGGACGAGTCAAGACTAAATGTTCAATCTGATTTTATTTCCTCAAATTTTCATTACAAAACATTTTAAATAAATTTTTAAGGTTAGTTATTACTTTTATTTTAAATTGTAAAAATTAATCAATCAAATTATAAATTATTATTTTTGAGATAATTTTTTTAATTCTATAAAATTTTAGTTATTTTATATCTCACTGTAAAAAATAATTAAATAATTAACGTCAACTAAAATATTAGTTAAATAAAAGAATATTTTAATATAGAGATAATAGTGTATTACATACTTGTTTAATATTATTGCCTAATGGTAATTTTTTAAATTTATAAATATATTTAGAGCATTACAATTTATTGTATTATTAGATTAAATTAGATTAATTTTTTAAATTTTACTCTAATATAAGTTGCAATATTATAACAGTTTGTTAAAACTAGCCTTGCGACAACTTTGTATTTAATGAACCTGTTTCAATACTATTTTATATTAATAAATTAAATAAATAAAGGGTTATAATCTGCATAATAATAATAAATTCATAAAGCATTATTATCTTTTATTTATATAACTAACTAATGTTGAATCAAATCCTTTAAAATAAAAGTTGCAATAAGGTTAGTTATAACCAAAAGTAACAGTATTACAAACAATCTGATTTATTTTAATATGCACGGTTAAATTGTTATTATATAATTATAAATTAAACATTAAGTAGGCGTATTTTAAGTTGGTAATATTAATATTACCTTATTATTTTTAAAAAGATATTAATTTATTAAAAAGAAAATTAATTACCTTATATTAATATTTAAAAATATTTTAATTTTATATTATTATAAAGTGTTTGACAAAAGGGTGCATAATGGTTTATTTAGCATTAAAAATCATAGAATTGAGCTAGAACAAACTAAAAAAAGTTGCAACTATTGTTTTGTGGCACCAATGCATTCCTATGCCCAATTTTACCCGGACCTAAGTAGTTTATTTCTAACCTAAAATGTTTTGTGCATAAAATACGGTATCGGAGCAAGCAAATAATTTTTAGTATTTTGAAAGACAATTCGAACGAAATTGAGATCACCCCGATCCATTAAGCCGTTGCTGAGATTTATGAATTTCAAATCATCACAATTTCGCATAAAAAGAATTTTCAAAAATTAATAAGGCAAAATTTCTCAAAATCCAGAAATTAGTTTTTTCATATTGACCCTGCGCACAATTTCCAAAAATCAAAACTTACCCACATCTTATAGTTTTTAAGCTATTGATGGACAGGCATATCTACCGTTCCCCTTAGGTCCGGGTAAAATTGGGCATAGGAATGCATTGGTGCCACAAAACAATAGTTGCAACTTTTTTTAGTTTGTTCTAGCTCAATTCTATGATTTTTAATGCTAAATAAACCATTATGCACCCTTTCGTCAAACACTTTATTAAAAATATTTAATATTTTACCTTTCATTTATATCCAATTATTATTATAACATAAAATATTACTATACTAAAATAAACAAACTACCAAAACGAATTTAATTTAACTTTTAACATTAAAACTTTTAAAATTGCTAACTCTTATACTACCCACATAACTACAATGTAATGAATGTTACATATATAATTCATTATCACCCACTTAATATCTTTGTAAGTATTAGTCCTTTGAGTGAAATCCAGTTCAAATAGCTCTGTGAGAACCAATACTTATGAGACAATCAATATATTTAGTGTTAACTTAAGATATACCTCCAGATAAATAATATATTTGATGATGTATATTAAACGAGTACCCAACGTATCAAAAACTACTTTCCACACAATTTTATAACACTAATAATAAATATAATCTAATTAAAATTAAGCTAAAATGTTCAATAATAATTAATCCATCGGTTACATTACTGCTCAACAGTAATGCATGCCTTGTGATTGAAAACAAAATAAACACATTTTTGTGAACTCGAAATAAAACTTGGTGTTCGCTGTGTTAAAGCTATAAATGTGAATATATTACATAATAAATTAATTACCTCTCAACATATTAGGGTAGTATTCATTAGAATATGATAACAATAAATGAACTAAAATTGAGTTTAAAGTAGTTTGGATACCTTTTATTTTAATTATTTAATATATATAATTATTTGTGTAAATTCTAGTGATAAAATTTGATTTTAATTCACCATATTTATAAGGCGTGATCAACAAAGTACATACGCACGTCTAGCGGGAGGGGGGTCATGCCAAAGCGGATGTCCCTATGTTAAACTCCTATGTAATATGGGCGTGTAGGGGGTGGTGGTCAATTTTTGGCCAAATTTTTGCGTACGTACTTTGTGGATGACGCCTATTGAATTTTTAAAATAAAATAAAATACCATATAAAAGTAAAAGTATTTTTTAATTAAGTGACATTTATAATTTTTCAAACTACATATATTTATCAATTTGAATTGCACAATTTATCAATTTCATTTAATAATCTTATATGTTGAAGTGTTTTTACCTGTAACTAAATAACATAACAGTGGCTTTTATTATAATGTCAAAATAATTCTATTTAGTACATATATGTTAAATAACAAGGTTTGAGAACAATGCTAAAAAACCGACATTCATATTTATGCAATTAATCTGTAAATTTCTAAATAATATACCACTTTCCATTATATATTAAAAAGTCTTGGATCATTTGATGTACGGGACATTTGACCTACAAATTTTCATAACGACTATTAACCTCATTTAACTCAGGATCAAAAAATAAACTTTTTCAAAAAAATATAAAGTACATCTCTAAATATCTACGTTATTTATGGACGAAATTTAAACGTTATTATTAAATTACTTACCTAACCTAACAATCTAAAAATGTTTACCTCCAAAAATAAAGTTTGTATTTGTAGGTCAAATGCCCCGTAGATCAAATGACAAAATACCGTATTAAAACAATAGTTAGTCAATTTAATATAATAATAATATGGAAAATGTTTTCCGGAATCATAGTCAACTTTTTGGTTAATTAGTGCACAAGCATATTTAAACTGATAAATTTGATGCTATATTTCAGCCCTCAGTTTAGGCTTCTCAATATGTAGGTATTTATCTATTAGTTCAAATATTTAATTTAAATTTATAACTAAAATTTAAAGATAAGAATAAGAATGAAGAATAAATTTGAAAATATTTTGTCAATTTTAAAATCAGTTAAAACAAAGTTCTATAAGTTAAAATGTCAAAAACTATATATTTAACTATGTTAAAATTATGGTAAACTACTTTGATAGGGACTTTAATGGCGGAGTGCGAGAGGTGGGGTGGTGCAAAGTATTTATATAATAAACTTTTAAGCAACTCTTTTTGTAATATTGTTGTATATAGTTTCATTTAGCTTAAATATAAAAACTATAGTAACAATCTATTTATTAAGTTAAATGATCAATTAAACATTTATATTTAAAGACTTAATATTTTATACAAAATTTAATATTTTTAAAATAAATTGTGCATGCAAATAATAATGATATGACGCAGTTAAATATATTTCATTTAATTTTGATATTTAATATTAGTTTACCAGTTATTTTGTGCAATGGTAAGTTTTCAATTTATAAATACTAATAATAAAAATTTATTTATAATTATAAATTATTTTATTAATTAATTATTTTATTTTTTAAATAATATATTACATTACTGGGCAAACATTGTTATAATTATATATAAAATGTTTGACAAAAGGGTTGAAACAAGTTATGTTTAATTAAATATAGGTTAGAATTGAACTAGATTAAAACAAAATTTTTTGCAACTATTGTTTTTAGGCATCAACATACCGGTATGCCCAATTTGTTTAAATTCTTAGGGGAACGGGATGTGCCAATATTTATTGCTCAAAAAGTAATGAATATTTTTAAGATCTGATTTTTGGATATGATGCGCAAGGTCAATATGAAAAAAGTAAATTCTAGATTTCGCTAAATTTTGCCTTGTTGATTTTTAAAAATAATTTATATGCGCAAAACTGCATATTTTAAAGCCATTTTTCTTGGGAATGGTTTAATGTATCAGGGTAGTCTCAACACTGTTCGAATCGTATTTCAAAATACTAAAAATTATTTGCTTGCACCGATACTGTATCTTGTGCACAGAATTTTCTAGGTCAAAAATCAATTTTCTCTATGTATTTATTTTATACCTGTTTTATTGTTATACACCTTTACCTGTATTTTCAAAACACATAGAGAAAATTGATTTTTGACCTAGAAAATTCTGTGCACAAGATACAGTATCGGTGTTATTTTGAGAAATTTTGCCTTGTTGATTTTTAAAAATAATTTATATGCGCAAAACTGCATATTTTAAAGCCATTTTTCTTGGGAATGGTTTAATGTATCAGGGTAGTCTCAACACTGTTCGAATCGTATTTCAAAATACTAAAAATTATTTGCTTGCACCAATACTGTATCTATTTTAAAAGTAATTTATTTTGACTAAACTTTTAATGATATTTTTAATAAATTTGTAATGTATTAAATTTATAAAATCAAGTAATTATAGCACAAAATTAATTAAATACTAATAAATTTATAAATAATTTAATATGTTGTGTGTCCTCCATTGCTTTCCATCACTTGTTGGAGACGTTTTGGCATCGATTCAATTAGTCGGATGAAGTAATCACGGTTTTCCGAAAGGTTTTGATGAGCCCATTGAAGTATATCCCAGAGCACATCCGCGGTGCAAATTTGGGGCTTATAAGTGCGCACCAAATGCTTAAGCATTCCTCCAACATGTTCAACCGGGTTCATATCTATTTAAATTAAAAATAATATAATTTTATTAAAATTATTATAAATTAAAACAAACTAATTTTAAATATTACCTGGAGAACAAGCCGGGTGAGGAAAGACGATGTACTGATACTCCAATCCAAATGTTTCGAAAATCCATTCCTTCACGTATGTCGATGTGTGGGCCCGATGTCCGTCGTGAAGGAGATGGAAATTTCCGTCTTCAAAGTGCTCATTAATGTAGTATAAGAGGTGTTGTTCCAAATATTCAACGTAAACCTCTTTTGAGAAGTTTTTAACTCTCATAATAGGGCCAATTCCGTGGAATGAGAACCTGAAAAATTAATTAAAAAATTAAAATTAAAAAATTTAGAAACCTTAATTAAATTGTAAAACTTACGAAACAATGAAAGAAAATGTTTGTCTCGTATTCCTTGATGTTTCGGCAATGTTTTGCTCGGCAAACCTCTCACTCCTGTACCGAAATACACGCAACTTCCCGTTATCACTGGTATCAATGCCGAACTCATCGATAAATATCACTCGCGACCAATCTTCAAATGTCCAGTCTTTGAAATCATTGGCATAACTGAGACGTCTTTCTCTATGCATTTGAGTGAGTCTTTGTTTGACAGCCGCAACACATTTCCGAATTCCTGAAATTGTAAATATTATTAAATTAAATTTAATTAATTAATAAATTAACCTTTCTCATTCAATCGACGATATAATGTGCGATCCGATGCGTGAAATATGGCTTCACTCGCTGCCAACCTCTCGTCGTCTCTCCACTTATCCAATGAGTCCCATCTGTTTTCAATGCCCACTTCGGCAATGAGGTCGTCCTCTTCGACACTCGTTATGCGAGGACGGCCTGTGTGTGACGGCTTCAGGAGAGGGATCTCATCGTCATCGTACTGACACCACCGGTAATATGTTGCTCTTGAGAAACCTTATATACAAATAAATAATTAATAATAATTTAATTTCAAATTAATATTTATTAAAAACTTACCGAATTTCCGAAGTAATCGATGCATCCCTTCCCCTAACGCTCGCAATTTGATGAATCGCCGAAATGGGATCTCATTTTCGGCGGCGATATGAGATAATGACATTGTTTTGATTAATTTGTGGACAAATCAAACAAAATAAATCAAAACAAAAGCCCGAAACGACAAAGCCCTTCACATACAACGTTACAAAAATTCACATACAATGTATAATATAAATGTATTGTAAATAAATAAATACCATTTAAATTATTTATTATAATATTTACAGTATTGGTGCAAGCAAATAATTTTTAGTATTTTGAAATACGATTCGAACAGTGTTGAGACTACCCTGATACATTAAACCATTCCCAAGAAAAATGGCTTTAAAATATGCAGTTTTGCGCATATAAATTATTTTTAAAAATCAACAAGGCAAAATTTCTCAAAAT